CTACTGGCCGGTTTACAGAGAAAAGTGATATTTATGCATTTGGGGTACTTTTGTTTCAAATCCTTTCTGGGGTTCGAAAAGTAACCAGCACAATGCAAGCTGCTGCTGACTTAGGAAAAACTCAGGACTTCATGGATAGAAATCTCCATGGAAAGTTCTCTGAACCTGAGGCCATAAGGGTTGGGAAGGTTGCTTTGTGGTGTATCCATGAATCTCCAGAGGAAAGACCTGGAATTGAGACAGTTCTACAGGAGCTTGGTAACTGCACTAACTTTTCCTAGAACTCAAAGGTTCTTATTCACAGGTATTGATTTTGTAATGTTCCGTGCTAATTATGATTTGTGGTCGATTGCTACTAACCACTTACAGATGACGGACTCTTTACAGAGATTGTAATGCAAAGTACACTCAATGAGGACTAAACTTTATGTGAAATTAGCTAGTGGTGGTTTTTACTTGTGTCGCAACCTACTGTTTGAATGCTAATCATGATTTATGGTAGATTGCAACTAACCACTTACTGATGACGGACTCTTTAGAGAGATTGTAATGCAGAGTCCTCTCACCGAGGGCTAAACTTGATGTGATATTAGTGGGTGTTGGTTTTTCCTTCTGTGTCACAACCTATTCCAAGCGTCTTTTTTCTGATCTTTCTTCAACGCATATATGTATATATTCGCCTTTTCGACTTGGAGAAATCATATTTCCAGCTGCATGATGCATTGAATTAACCGTTCACCTTTCTCACATGTTGTGAATAACTGAATATGTATGTAGCAGTCTTTTAAAGTCTCTCGCTTCTCTCATTTCTCTGTTTTCTAACCACCTTTAGCATTTATCAAGATCGACCAGAGATGAAAGTATATCTCTCATCTGGAACCAAAAAGCAAATAGTGATGTAATATCGTCTCACCTGGAAAAAGAATATGATAATCAATTAAACTCTACAAAAAGTTTGTATAAACTTTATTAGGAGTATATTACATCAATTTGCTATTTACATTTGTCATCTGTAAGACCTTAAAGAATAGTCATTTAAACCGAAAAAGAGCCTAAAGTACTGCTCTCCAAGAACTTGATTTATAATGGGACACAAAGCTGATCTTAAGCTTTAACAACTCTTCCTTGAAGAGGAGATCTGATCCTGAATACGTGTTCTTCACCAGTACATTTGTCCACTTTAACAACCCAGTGGCTTGTTTTCCCTGATTTGATAGGATAATAATTAAAGTTGGCATTTGCAGATATTCTTGTCAGCAGCAATCCTTCCCCTATTGGTAACAGCTGAGTGTGCAAACCGCCTTTCCTCCAGGACCCCTTGCAAAATGCATTATAGCCTAGGACTATGGTGTTCTGTTGCCTGGTGCTTTCCTGTATTGTTCGGAGAACTCCTCCATGGTTTTCAAGATTACAGTCAATGGCTATGAAATCTGCCTCCTTGCAGTAGTTTGAAAGCATCATGTGGGCGTCTCCCATAACAAACTGAACTTGAGTTGCATTACTTCCCAAGATCTTTTCAGATATATCTAGTTCTTCTTGCCCACGAAGGATGCAAATTACACGTCCACCGGTTTGTTGAGCCGCTGCCACCAGGGCTAGTGTAGTGCAGTCCACAACGCTGGAACATGCAACAACGATTAATTGCACATTGTTTCCAGCAGCAAGAGCTGAAATGAATTCTGCTCCATTTGGCTCTTTGGTACTCTTTCCCTGCAGAAAAGTCACGTCACGGTCAATAACAGGCTAAAAGAAAGCTAATAACATTTGATTTTCATATACAGGAACATAGGCAAAATTCATAGGAGCTTCGAAGATTTTGCAGTTGATAGCACTCACCATTTTCATGGTTTTAAGGAATGCTTTTGTGGCATTTTCAGCAGACCAGCAACCCATATTTTCCTGCTTAGACATTTTAGAGAAGTTGATTACTTTTTTAACCTTGGATGTGGATTATAGAACCGCTCGTCCCAGCCATTCGTGTTGCATTTATATAGACTTGACCATGAAGGATACGCCACAATGAAGGTATTGTGCTTCGCTGGCACTATTAAATTAGAATGAATTGCAACCAAACAAATCAAGAATAGTATAAAATAGTGTCAATCAGAATCAATTGGACCGGAAATTCAATGCTTTCTGTCACCGTTATACTATTTAATCCGCAATATGCCGTTAATGAAGGCAGTGTTATGGTGGAATTTGTATATTGTAGCTTCAACCTGATCAATGGCAGCATACACTTTTTTCCTCTCTACTTTTACCAGATATCAGAAGTCATTCCCTCAGAACTTTAAGCTTCCCTTTATAGTTTAGACACATTTTAACCTACGAGTGAAAAGTATGACCACTTCACCATCTCAGAAGGAAGAAAGTTAGATGGAACCGAAACAGCGCTAACAAAGATGCTTATTTTCTGAGCTACCACTTAGCTCAGGGAAAAAATTGTTTTAAGGGTGAAAAACAAAAAAACCCCTTGTGATAAACCTAATATATAAAAATGTCCCCCATGGTTTCAAAACGTACAACATGACACCTCATGTTTTGAACTAAATTGTAAAGGTGATGAAATCCGTTAAATTTAACGGAAATGCATGAAAAATGCCCTGATATAATTAAGCAAAAGACAACTCAACAAAATCATTTGTTTTATTCTCTACAGAGATAGAATTGAGGGTTAAGGGGTAAAATAAGTATATTTGTTAAAAATTAGGTATAAATTTTTTTTAAGGTTCCAATAAGTCATTTCCATTAAGTTCAACAGATTCTGTCACGTTTACAATTTAGTTCAAAACATAAAGTGTCGTTTTATACGTTTTGAAATCATGAGGATTTTTCTGTATACAAGATTTATCACGGGAGACTTTTGTTTTTTACCCTTGTTTTAACTTGAGGCAAAAGGCCCAAATGTGAAAGATAAGGAAAGAAAAGGAAGCGGAGGAATTGGTAAATTTCGTGGAGGCTGCTTTGAGAATAATTTTGTATTACTTAATTGTCAAATCTGATCACATCGAGGATCCAATTAATTCATCATATAATGCACCACTCCTTATAATTGAAATCTCTCATTAGCTGTCATGTCCTTTGCTGGACAGACATTTGAAATTCGAGGAAATTGTTAATAATAGCAACGAACTACAACTTGTAATCTTGTATTAATACTAATTAATCTGTAGAGACAAGGCAGAAAAACCTTGCTGTATCAAGATTCCTTCTGGACAGAGCCAATCCAAATAGGAAGTGCAACATCAAACACTGTGCTGAGGCAAACCAAAACCCTGAAAATGATTCAGCTTTGTTGCATGAATCTGATCCTTCCGCAAGTTACGTTCAAAATCAGCAAATTGCATTGTACGAACAAGTACGTTAGACCCCCAACACAAAAAAGAAATACTTTCGAATTGGCAATCAGTTTTTTTGGGGGGTGAGGGGGTGAGCATCGCACCAGCTTTCTTTGGATATGTTGAAGGTAGCATTTTGCCCGTTAACTTTTTGCTTTTATCTTAAACAACTTAATTCAATCTTCAACCACAGCTATTACTGTCATAAATCAGTAGATCTAAAGCCTAAAATGGACCAAAACTGGGAGCATTTTCTCCTTGGACCCGTCTCAAGAATTTAGCAAGAAGGTGAGGATTTGTATCATGGACAAGACAGGGCAACAACTGATGCCTCGTTCTCTATACTCCATAGTCACTCTTCATCAGTGTCATCCGATACAGAGCAAAAGACGACAGCATGCATAACATATGGATGCATGTGGCTAACTCGATTAGAAACTCTAGTTTCGTCTAGAGAACCTGTACCCTTCAAGGAACCAAAGCATTAAAATATCTAGCACTGCAGAAGCAGAGTTGCTAAGTGTAAATCTTGCCTCCGGATAGCCTTGCAGAGATCTAGATCCGGTCAAGTTGTCGCCCAGGAAAACACATTGATTGACAGAGAAATAACGTGCTTAAATTCTCTGTCTTTTGGTCTTTCTTGCACAACGGGAGGTCCCATTACTCTGATGCTGCTGAATAGATCAGGCAACTGGGGGAAAAAGTTAATTGGTCATGATAAAGCATATACTGTAGTCTGTACGTGCATTTTTCTCTTGGATTACAACACACACTTCTTGGAAATTTCTTCCCTCTCAATGGATCTATTTTATTTTGATATATTTGACAAACTAACCTTATACTCTGTGAAACAGGGGCAAGAAATTGTCGCAAAGCAAATTTTGGAAAGAAAAATTCCACCTATTCTTCAATTATCATGATTGATTGTATAATCAGAGTCTACAGTGTGCACATTTTGCGAATGAGAATGCACGTAAGTTGGCTAAGTGCATGTAGGTGTTACGATTAAGGTGTATAAACCGTCTATCAGTAGAAACACTAACAACCCTTCTGGCCCTTTGTCACATTCAGCATCCACAAACATTAATTCAAAACAGATGCTGAAAACATCTGAAGACTGATTTAAACTTAGTAGGTGTCAAAAATGCAGAAATATTATTGAGGTACTTGGAAAGGTCTACAGGATGTGCACGTTCGTCCGCAGCAAGCTTGAGCTACGCAACAGAGAATTGAGGTATTCGTTCAAGCTCTGAGGTTTAGGGATAATTATTGGACAACTTTAATATCAACAGATACGTGTTTATACAATGCCAGTCCATAGTGTTGACACCAAGGATCGACAAGGGGAAAAATAGGGAAACGTTCATAGATTTGTCATGAAACAGGTAAATTCGACGCAAGTCTTTTTTATTTCTTTTGGTGGTTTCATGTTTAAGCAGTGAGTTGATTGTGTAGATATACTAACAAAGGGTGTTTGATAAGTTGATCCGCCCCAGTGTTTCGTATCTGTGACGCACTAAATTGTGATATAGTTGTGAAAATTGGAGCAAGTATTGCCCAGTAACTCAGAGCTTCAAAAGAATTAGCTAGATAAGTAGTCCACTACTGAAATAGCAGATAGATGCTGCAATCTTCATTATTTGCAGTTTCAGAATTATACTGCGCATTTTGTTATCAATTAAGCTTAAGCAAATCCGTGTCATCTCTAATATCAGTTCTCTTTATCTTATTTGATTTTTGGTAAATACAAAATGAACAGCCACCACCGAGTACAAGCTTTGGAGAGCTGAAGTGCAACTAGTTCCCAGGAAGATTAAACCCGAAACACATGCTCTTCACCTGTGTATTTGTCAATTTTAACCAGCCAACGCCTCTTCTTGCCTGAAACAGCAGATCTATTACTCTTGTTGACATTTTCAGCTATCTTGGTTACTAGCAAGCCTTCTCCTATGGGCAACAAATGAGCTTTCAACCCCTGCGGGCACCTCCATGAGCCCATGGAACATGCATGGTATGCAATAACAATAGCATTCCTGCTAATCACTTGCACAGTTTCAAGAATACGCTGACAATTCTCGAGATAACAGTCTATAAGAATGCAATCAGCTTCTCTATAGTCGTTGCAGAGTAAATTTAGGGCGTCACCAATAACAAACTTGACATGTATTGCACTATCGCCGAGGGCTATTTCTGAGGAGTGTTGTTCATGAACTCCACGAACAATGCATATGACTTGACCACCAGTTTGCAACGCAGCAGCTACCAGGGCCAGTGTGATTGAATCAGCCGCACTTGCACTCGCAATAACCATAAGTTGTGCATTGTTGCCAGCAGCAAGTGCCGAAATGAACTCCGCTGCATCTGGCTCCTTGGCACCTTTTGTCTGTAATCGTTAAGAAACGTTAAACAAGTGTACGCATCTTGCCTTGATTTATAGCAACCTGCATCTTATACTAATGAAATGGACATCATCAGTGAGCTCAAGTGACCTATGGCACCAGTTATGCAAGAAAAGTAACAATAATAGCTATCTCATGTGCATGTCAATCTCACCATTTTTACTGCTCGGAGATAGGCTCCAGTCGCATTTTCAACAGACCAGCTCGCCATCTTCCCCTTCAGGCTTTGTCAGTCTCCCTATCTGTTTTGAGCCCACTTTCAGGGAGTAGAAGACAGCCAAGCCTGCTTTATAAAGGGATGAATTTCTTATTTGTCTGCTTCTAATTACAGCATGCAGCATTCAATTCAAGGTAAGTTACAGGTATGGCCAAAGGGACTACTAGACCTGGTCATGTTCAATCTATAATAATGATGAACAAGGAATGAGGGGTGAATTTAATCCATTTAGAAACAAGATGCCAGAGAAATTATTCATCTCTGTCTGCAGTACTTACTTTGTGGAGCTACCTAAACTCCACCGTATTCTGTTGCATTTAGCTCAAGTCCGATCAAACGATGGTCATAATAAATCACTAGCGTTAAAAACCGTTTCCCAAGATATTCTTATGTTCATTGTGATGTTATGCGTCAAGGGAACAATCTGAATTTTATATTGCAGCAAGGGATATTGGAGAAATTCGTATAAATCATTTATCACGAGAGACAGAAAAATGAGAACCATGCTGGTCCCAGACCTGACACCGATTCGCTAAAAAAATTGCTGCAAGTCGAATCAAACAACTAGTGAACAACAGTAAGGCAAAAGAAAGAATGGTTCTGATGATAAAATGGGAATTGAATTTGGTCATATATTGCATGAAATCGATGACAAATGATCTGAGGCGTGAAACTGCTGTCTGCTTGCCTCTCTTCCACTGCTATGCGGATGAACATATACATAGGTTGTGGGCCTCTGGCAAACCCGCTGCCTAGACTCATCAACATTCATGGACTTTCTAAAGCCTCTCACAGATATCTTTTTTGCTCCTCCTGGGGTGCGATTCAGGTCGCTGATATATGTTGCAAATTTACATGATTGGGAGAGAGAATGTGAATACGGAAGAGAACGGATACGGTCTAAGATTCAGCTTGGCGGTTTTGCGACCTTTGTAAGGAACATGTTGCACATCACTGCATGGAATGATGGCAAATGGTATAAAGCATCACAAATGCTGCAACCGGCAAAGGTTAATCTTTTCTAGCTACTTGTGAAGAATGACCAATTTAAGAGCAAAACATAAAAATTGACGTTATCTGGTAATTTCTCAGGCTTTGTATCTGATAGGAGCAAGATATTAGCTTGCCTTCCATATAACATAAAAAACTGACATTATTCTGGTAATAGCTGCTCAGGCTCTGTATCTGATGAGAGCAAAGGATTAGCCTGCCTTCCATGCCGACCAATATTATATTGATGGCATTAAGAGTTCACACCAACTTGTTGAATTAATTCAATGTTTGATGGAGAAAAGCTACAAAACTTCAATGTATTGGCGACTGGAGGACAGTGCTAACTGAATCCAAGGATGCGTCTAATAAAACTGAAATTTGAAATCTGAATTTATTAAATTATTAAATTGTTAAATATTAAATCTAATATATTTGAGTGCATATCACATCCAGTGATACTGAATAACTTATCACTTAATTTTGATAGTAAATTTTACTTAGAAAATTCAGTGCCACTTAATTAATTCAGATATTTAATTTTTGATTATTAAACGATCTGAACATGTTAAAATCTGAATCTATTAAATTTAAATGCTAAATTAGGTTATCAAACAGGATTTAAGTCTGTTTACAACTCTATTTATTTGCACTTCAAGGGCAAACATCATTATTGATTCCCCCCCCCCCCCTTCCTATGCTCAAGAGAATTTTTAATACTACTTTATCTATCGAAGGTCGGCTAAATAAATAACACAATATATTGCATACATATGGGCTAAATAAATAACGGAATAAAACAAATTATTAAGTTCAATGTTATTTTTTCCACCACTCACTTGAGTGAGTTGAGTCCATACTACAGAGTACTGGAAGATGCTAACTCAAAGCGTTGTGTGGATTGCAACTTTTCAAGAAATTTTGAAAAAAAATATTATAGCACCCTTTAGGACGTGATATATATAAAATAAAAAATTATGTAAAAGAAATATTCACGAAAAATATGAAATTTTCTCGCAAAAAACTTTTACCATTTCAAATCAAAACTTCAAAGAAAGAAAAGCTTACCAGTTCAAACGTCGAGTCGCGGCTAGGAAATTTTTTTTTTTGTGGAAAAACTATTGAAAAACGTTTACCTTGTCAAAACAGTCAAAATGGGCATAGATGATGGAGAGCCACGGAACAATTTAACATTACTCGGAATATGGAAATAGACAATATTTCTATTTGGCAAACGCTTATTAGTTTTCCTCAAATCTCTTTAAATCTTTTCTCCTATTCTTCTCCTAAAAGTTTCATCTAGTTGTACCTTCTCCTAAAAATATTTGGGCTTTTTCTTTTTGATCATTTCTTAAATTAATAAAATTATTGCTTTTTCTTAAGAAAGAAAAAGAGACAGACAGAGAGATGATGAAGGATCACATCACCTTATTCACCTTCATCTGTGAATCTAAAAGTAGGAGATAAACACTTGTTAGTGATGTGTAGGCATTGCTAAAATTATTTTTCAAAATTTATTTACCTATAATATCAATACACATTTCAATTATTTGTTTATTTTACATATATCATATCAAAAATATGTTACAATATTTTTTATCTGTTGTGAAACTAATAAAATAAACTTCCAAAAGTAGGGATAGTAGAGTGAGAAGAAGAGAGAGATAGAATTATATTTTACTGATCAAAGTACTTCCAGGTTTCAAGGTTACAAAAGAAGTAGGATTCACCCCTATAAATAGGTGATCCAAGATAAAAGATACATGAATCCCATTAAATACTAATACATGAATTTAGTACTTCAAGTACATTCATAAAAGGTTTCATCCAATAGACCAACGAATCTAGGGAGAATACATGTGTCTATCATCTTGAGAATACAAACGGACATCTTCATCTTGTAATCATTCTTGAGAATATCAACGGACAGCCACATCTAGAGAATATCAACGGACATCCACATCTTATCATTATTTCATAACTCAAAAAATTATGCCAAATAATCTACTACCCAGACACACTCACTATTAATTTTTTGAGTTTGAGGCTTTCAATACAAAAAAAAAAAAAATTTCTCAATTACAGAAAGGTGGGAGCTGTATAAAACTATAAATAAGATATCTCTTTAATTTAATCAAATGATGATGACGTTTTGGTTAGGTTAAACTAGGTAAGTTACAATTAATACGTACATTATCGAACTAAAACATAAAAAGCGCGCCGACATCACAGGAAATTAATTAGTATTATGGGAATATCTCCTTTCCCATTTGAGAGAGAGGGAAAAAGAAAAAATAAAAAAGGGGAAGGAAAAAGGAAGCCCCTGTGAAGGCGGTGGACTGCAGTGATAATTCAACGCAAGTACAGAACCCTTGCCGCTGAGAATTGAGATCACACAATTCAGAGAACCCATTCATTTGTTGCTCTCGGGCGTGGTAATGGGGAACGCGTACTGTATCTTTTGCGGGTGCGTGGGCCAGGCCAACGTAGGCGTCGTGGAAAAATGGGGCCGGTTTCTGAAACTGGCGCAACCAGGTCTCCACTTCTTCAATCCTTTCGCCGGCGAATGCCTCGCCGGAATTATCTCCACTAGAATCAGTTCTCTCGACGTCAAAATCGAGACCAAAACCAAGGTCCTCCCTCCTACCCGCTTTTGCAATCCTTTGTTTTCCCCTTAAGAAAATATAATACATATATGGATGAATCAATGAATAAACACCGCAGTGACTTATGTTGACTGTTGCGAATCCGGAAATCCTAAAACGGCACCGGTTCTCTTCCGGATCGCCTAATTCTGGATTGATTTTCTTTGACGAAAGATTCTTATCTCGCCCGTTTCTCGATGATCATCTATTTTAACTGTGTTATCGTGGACGAAATCTTGTTTCTCTGTTTCCCCTTTTTTATTTGTTGACGGTAAGGTTTAAATTGTAAATTAGTGTACTATAGACTGGATGAAGTGAAAGTCAACCAAAAAAATTCAGTTTCTGTTCTTGAGCTCTGCTTGTTTTCTTATTTGTTTTACGGTATACTATATCACCACAAGCTTCTAGATGTATGATCCGTTAGAGTTGACAATATTCATCCTGCACCTTTTACCTTTTTGGTCCGAGTAGTCACAACTTTACAGCTTTACTTATTAGGTAATATAGAGATCTAAAGATGGGCAGATTTTCCCTGTCCCTTCTACGAAATTCACATTGTCAGCAATGTTAAGGTGTTTTTCCTTTTATGCTATGAATCTCATTGTTGAATTCTTGAAATCATGTAACTCAATTGCTCGGTAACTTTGGCATGAATGTTTAGTTTGTGTCAAATTTTAGTTGAATCACTATCCTCTAAAGTGAATTCATAAGCTTAAGAACTTCTGAAGTATTCACAAATACTTCGTATGCCAAGAATTATGAGATGTTCGACTCCAAATAATTTCAGAATTACATTGAACAATCAGAATCAACATTTCGGGATTTTAATTATGCTTCGGATGAGCCTTGGCTTTTTTTTTTTTCACCTTTGTTTGAAAGCAATAAGTTGTAGTCTTACGATAGATAGTATCACTTGTGTTCCATTCTACAGGACAATGTCTTTGTCCAAATGCATTGCTCGATTCTATATCGAGTGATCGGATCAAATGCTGATGATGCATTCTATGAGTTGCAAAATCCCAGGGAACAGATTCAAGCATATGTATTTGATGGTAGTTTTCTTAATTCTGCAACATTTTTGGTATTAATGACAATTTTTGACATTGCTGACCTTACTCTTAAATAATCTATATTCATGTGATTGTTGTATTTCTTTCACAGTGGTTCGAGCTCATGTTCCTAAAATGAATTTGGATGAGCTTTTTGAGCAGAAGGGTGATGTAGCTCAGGCTGTATTGGAAGAACTTGAGAAGGTAAATTGATGTGGCATAACATTTCCCAATTATTCACGCCTCTTGCTTTTCGTGGATATCAAAAGATGATTTGCCTGTGTTGTACTGCTCAAAGTGAGGATGATATTAGTAGTTCTGAAGAACTTTCTCTTTCTCTCCAATATCCCAGGCATGCTTGTTTCCTTGATTGAAGTTTTATAATTAATTGAGAGTTGATCTCTTGAAACAGATTTCAAGGATGAGTTTAATTTTACATTAGTTCAACTTTGACCAGTATCTTCAAATGTTGCTTAGAAGATAATCTGTGCAAATATTTTTCTTCAAGTCCTTAATCCTGTTTTAAATCTGTTTCAGGTTGATAATTTGCAGGCTTTTCTTTTTGGTTTACCAAATGTTGATGAATCTTCTAATTGATGAAGAAGTGAATAGGTTTTTTTGTTAGAATTTGTGTTATACTTGTAACAATTGAGGAAGTAGTCCTTTAACTGTC